TTAAATATTTAGTAAGCACCATATCGATACAGATAGACCAATTAAAAGTTCTGAGCAATCAGGTCAAAATAACCTCAAATTAATAAGGTTTGATTGATATATGTTTATCTTTGTATATACACAAAAGCAAATTTTAAAAAGTATGGCCTACTTTCAATTTCAAATAACATACTAAATTGGAATTAGGTATAAATTTTCACTCCCCCTCCTAAACTGAATAAACTCATGAAAAGTTACATTTTACTTGTATATTCACTCTTTTAAATTTAGACATCAATATTACTGGAATAACGTTTTCACACAGAATCACTTTTAAATTCAGTGAGAAGTTTATTTATGTATATAAGCCTATAAAATATAACCATTTATAACAAATTAATTTTACTGGAGAGGTTTCCTATCTTCCCAAAGCTAATCCTTACCAACTAAAATTAGGAATTCCAAAATAGGAATCCCACAAAAACCTACAAACAAGTTTAAAAATGCATTATCTAAGGTGTTTAAAATTAAACTCCACTATTTTAACTTTGATGTGTGAATTTACTTTAGAGGTCCCTGGTCTATTTATTCTTTCTGACAGATTCCACTTTTCCAGATGCTCCTCAAACAAAGATTCATTTCTCATTCTTGCATCCTGCTTTTCTCCTTGTACTACTGCAGCCTTTCTTGTGTCTTTCCCTTTCTCTTACAACTTCATTCTCTACTTTTGATCCTGTCCAGATTGTGCTCTTATTGTAAACAATAGTCTAATTTCTCATGAGGATCTGTATTAATTCATACAAAGTCACACCTGTAATGAACTTCAATCTTAATTTATGGCAAAATAAATTAACTGTGGAGCACATTTATATTTAAGGGTTTTTATTTCCTTTTGCTGTTTTAAACATTGGTACATTCAGAGGGTAAGCTCCGACAACACAAAAACCCATCTGTATCTCTAATTTGGATCTTATTAACCTTGTAAAACAAACCCAGGAACAGGTCCTGATGTAGTAACTAACATGGCCTTTCCTCCCAGACCCCTAACCAATTTCTCATGCCTGGATGCTCCATTATATCAGTAGTGACATTTTAGTCAGTTGCCTGAGAGACTAAAAGCCTGTGATGTCCTTAGGAAAGGCTTTATTCCAAGGCAAACTATTTCTTCTGGTCAAATCTTATTTGGATTAACTATGTCAAAATTTGTTGCTTGACATTTGGCATGTCATTTGTGCTACAGCTGAAACGGATAAGATTTGTCTTCTCTTGCGCATTTCAGTTCACCCAAAGAGCAGACGCACAATCAATTAGCAAATACACCTCTAAAAATGTACTCAGAGAGAGAAAATTGCCAAACCACTGAAGCAAACAGCACCTGACAGAAATGAAAAAGATCCATGAATCATCTAATACAAATACTGGCACTGTTATAACATACAATGTTGACAACTATCTAGTATCACCTAAGCAAAATGGTTTCTTAAAATTTAGCTTGTTAATAAAATTCATTAGAGTCTTTATTTTCTTCCATTGAACAATGTTAATTAACCAATTTTATATTTTCAGTATGAATATATTATGTTTTTACACTTTACTCCACATTCATTCATTCCACTAACTTCTATAACATGCCCACTGCTGTGTACTGGGTACTACATTTTATTTCCCTTATTCACAATGGTATTCTATGCAAAAGCGATATCTGGCCCATTGGAAAAGATATTAAATAAAAAAAAAAAAGGCCATGAAATCTCCCAGACAATCAAACTGAAATATGAACTTTCTCACCAGAATTTGCAATTGCAGACATAGTCCTGCTGATCACTTTTCTAAAAAAGTTACATAAGCAAAAGTACAAATCTCTGTGTGGGGCCTTCAAACGTCCTATTTACCTTTATTCAAGATGACAGCAGCATTAACAATTAAGTGTTCAATAAATACATTAAAAAAAATAATGCTACTTTTTAAAGGATAATAACAGTAATAGCTAATATTTACTGAGACTTGCAATATGCCAGGCTAAAATCTAAGTGACCATTATCTCATTTAATCTTCCCATCATCCCTGAAGAATGGACATTATTGTAATCCCCATTTTACATAAGATGAAACTGAGGCTTCCCTTACTCAAGGTCACTCAGCTACACAGAGCTGGAATTCAAATCCAGGTCTATCAGTGCACAAAGCCTGTACCCTTGATCATCATATTATACTGCTTGGTTTATACTCACTCAACCGTACTCTAAAGCTTTTGAATGTCTTATAAGGAAGGTTACTTTTTAGAACAAGTTTCTTCCTTAAAATGAACTTCCTTTTTGATAATACATATAAAAACCAATCAACATATAAGGATTTTACTTGAACCGTGCTATTACAAGTCTAAATATTTGGATGAGAAATAAAATCTATCTGAATGAAATCTCTGAATCCTTATGGTAATAGGCCAGACATTCACTGGAGCTGGAAGAGACCATGAGGGTCATCTAGTCCAAATTTTTCCTTTTAGTAATACTGAAACATAGGCCTTTTGAAAACAAATCTATACCCAATCTAAACTATACCACATTCCCAATCCAGAAACACGTTAGGTTTTTTTTTTCCAAATCATAACTTTGATATATAATCTAACACTGCTAACATTTTTACATGATACAGAGCATGGTATCCCTTCCAGAAGCACTGTCAGAAAATACAAACTCCATGACATAAATTCAGACAACTGCAGGGCTATATTACCAGTTGAAAGCTTGAATATTATCTTAAGACGTGTTATAGAAAGCTATAAAATGGCATCCTTAACTATATGAACCCAAACTCAAAAAAATAGCCATTTCTTGCTTGAATTAAATTTACATTCATTTGGGTCAACTAGCCAGCATTCACTTCATCGGTCATGTCATGTGACTGAGTTGAAGCTCAATTCAAGGGAAAGGCCTTTCTATGCTGTATCTAGAACACATACCACTGAGAGCAGCCAGATGAGTCTTTGTAGGCCTATCCAAAAACCTTGCTTTAGTTGCTAAGAAACTACAATTTCACCGTATTATAAATCACTGGAAAAAAACTATGCCAGCAGAGATCAAACACGTGAAGATCAAGATCCTCTCACCTATTGTGCAAAATGAAACCATAGTATTTCCATAAATTGAGTAAGTGAAATTAGTATTTGGTTTCCTTAAATTATATTGTTAACACAGTTGAAAAACTGATGAGACAAATCAGACCAACTCTAGCCTGCCTTTCACAGTGGCCTCATGCTTTGGAGGAAAACAGGAAAAATATCCAATATATTTAGCACATTCAATGCTAGAAACAGAAAAGTGTTTCCTTCCTGACCCCTGCAGTGATAATCCAAGGCCATGAAGCATACATAAGATTTTATTAGTACAATTTGGTACAAAAACACTTATATTAAGCAATGATGCTTTTTCAATCCTTTATTGATATATTTTCATGGTAATCTTCAGCATTTTAAGCCATTTCTCCTTAGAATACTCAACTCCACTGGCTGGATCGTTGCTTTGTAAAAATTAAAGTCATTTAAATTCCAGCCTTTCTAACAAGAGTAATTTTAAATTGCTCTAAATAGCATAATAATAAAGAGTCACTGAAAGATTAGCAAAAATAATTTATAGTTTACTCTCCAGTACTGACTTCTCACAAATTCTTTCATTAAAAAAAAATTTTTAATCTCTTAAAGGCTATTTCCACAACAGCAGAAACAGGTTCACAATCCTTCTAGTCTTACTTCTGAAAGATCAGTTCAGCAGCTGAATTGTAACACACGTCTTCAGTCAGAATCGCTCCTATCTAGACCCCCCCATGCGCATGATCCCCCACCATTTCTCCTTCTCTAAAGAGCTTCAGTTCAAAAACCAGGAATTCTCTCATTTCCACTATACCCGTATCTCAGGGACCACACTTTTATGTCCCTCAGAAATAACGTCTCTTCTCTCTTCAAACTTTTAGATCTCAAAAACACACTTCCTCCATCTCCCTCTCATACCAGTCACTACCCTCAAGCCCACCCCTGCAGTTGCAGCTGTGTCCCTGTCTTCCCAAAGGCCCAACCAATATCACACAGCATTTACCACAACCCAATTCCTCCCTCCCCGAATTTATCCCCCACACTGCAAACCAATATTACACCCCCGGCTTTCTGCATTTTACTCCTTTCCCTTATTTTTCGTCTTCACCCACCCCCATCTCTATTCCCCCTGCCTCAGTTTCAACCCTTTCTCCCCATCCTCTGCTCATTTTCCTCTCCTTATTTAGAAACTCCTTCTTGCTCTCCCAACCACTACCCTAGAATGCCCAGCACTCCACCCTCTTTAGCAAACCCAGCCCTCTTCCCCCAGCTCGTTTAGAGACACTGCTGCTTCTCTCTTCCAGGTCCCCTACTGCAGTCAACCCACTCCCTTCCCTGTCCACCCACCTTCCCCCAACCCCCAGATCCAAGATTCCCTGATTCTTTACCCCTTCCTCGGGGCTCTGGTACTCAGCTCACCATCAGTATTCTTCAGGACTCTTCCCCCGATCTCTCCCTTATTTTTAAGGATGTCACTCGTCTTACGGGGCCTCAGTAGCTCCCGGGAGCCCCGTTCTCTTGCGGAGCCTGACCAACACCACCCACAGTCGCTTAAACGCAAACGCCGGTCCTCTGCCACCTTAAGAGCTGCGCCCCCTCCTCATCCGCCCCCGCTACTCCAGCTCCTGACGTCGGCTTCCCTGGTGTCCCCTCGCCGACCCCGAGCGACGAGCTCCACGACGTGCAGCCTGTAAGTCAGCGACACCTTCGGCTCACACCGGACGCCCCCACCTCTCGGACAGGCGCCTCCGGTCCTCACACCAGCGCCTCTTCAAACCCTCGACCAGCATCTTCTCCTCTCGGACTCGCAGCCCCTCAGATTCCCGCCCGCCTCCCTTCCCCTTGCTCCGGCACCTCCTCAGGCCCGCGCCTGGCCCCTCCGGCCGCCGGCGCCCCGCAGCCCCCGCCCGGCCCGCCCCCGACGCCCCGCTTACCGTTCTGAGCGGCGCCTGGCCCTGGGAGGAGGGAGCCAGAGACCAGCAGCAGCGAGAGGGCCAGGGCGCTGGGGAGCGACGAACCCGACATCCTCCCTAGCAGAAGACCCAACAGCGAATGGGCCGGGGCCAGAGCCGGGGCCGGGGAAGGGAGGGGAGGGAGGGAGGGGGCGGGCGAGCGCGCGAGGGAGTGAGCGAGGGAGGCCGCCTCTGCTCGGCTCCGTCCTTCCCCGTCCTCCTCCTACCGCCGCAGCGCCCAAGCCTCGCGAGACCTTCGCTCCAGGCCGTGGGCGGCTGAGGAGCCACAGCTGCAAGGCTCGCGAGAAGAGGAGGCCTCTACGGATGCGCCCGCCCCTCGGACTCGGCGTCTCCGCCCCTGCAGAGGCTGATTGGCCTAGCGCAAGGTAGGTCACGTGCCAAGGGCGCTTCTGGCCACGTGACGGGGCGAGGCGGAGCTCCGCCCGCTCTCTGGGCAGTGCGGAACCGAGATTTCCCGCGTTCTGTTTACTGTTCCGTGGAACGGGAGCACCCATAAATAAGAGGAAGCCTTGGTAACACGGTCTATTTCCTCCACCCGTCTCGCCTTTCATTTGTTAGAGCTCTTGACTGCAGAATTGGATACACCACGCCCTATTTTCCGCCTACCTCATTGTCCCCTGTCCTGCTGTTTCTTCCTTCTGGACTTTGCCCACAGATCTCTAATAGTCTCTGGCTCCAACCTCCTCCTCTTGTCTGCTGTTTTTTCCTTCCAGACAAAGTGCTGTGCTCCCTGTGCCCGTTATTACCTTGTGCTTTCCTGCCTCAACATCTCCCTCTGCCTGAATGTCCTCCTTTTCCTCCCCCGCCTGCTCCCTCCCCCCATTTTGGCCTTATTTTAGCTTCAAAGACTCTCAGGGCCTGAAGTTCAACTAGCCTAATTGCATGTCGATAAGACATAATTCTACAAGGAAGTCATCGTGTATCAATTTATGTAAAGACTCCTCAGAAGCATTTCAGTACAGTCAGCATTTATTGAATACACGCTGTATAGCGGGCGCATGGTGAAAGCCACATGAATAGGTAGGCTTTCATGGAGAAGAGTGAGGAAGGGGCAAATGACCCTTAGGAAAGGAGCCAGCAAAGCACTCTGGAGGTTGATTGGCAATGTGGTTACTACCATTTGCATGGAAGCTTCGGAAATGCCTTTTTTTAGAGTATTTTTTGTGTGCTGCTCTCAAGTCTGGTGGTTGGCAAAGGAGTTTATAGGCTTAGCTCATCCCTGACTCCCAGCAGACATCTTGGGGAGTGTCTGTGGAGTGAACCTCTGAGGAGCCAAGAAAACAGTCCTGGTGACCTAGCTTGATTTAAAGAGAGGGCTTGGAGAATATGGGGGAAAGAGACTCTCACAATCTCTGTCAAGCTAACATAGTCTTGAGCTTTCAACAGGAACTGGACAGTTGATGGTTCCAAACCAAATTTTCTGGCAAGGGCCAGGACTACAACTATAGCATGTTGATAGAAGTGAAAACTGTATCCTTCAAGACCTCAGGTGTGTGAGTGACACAAAGATTGGCATGTATCTTCATCTGGACAAAGGCCATTCTGCAGATAGCCTTGTAAGGAGGGCTCCAGGACCACCTGTGGAGGGACCTAGATTTTCAGTTGATGGAGGCTTTGGTTGGATGCAACCATTCTGCCTTGTAATAAACATAACAAACATCCCTATTTGATCCTTACAACAAGGGATTCTTACAAAATGATTGTGCTCCTTTTGTGGGCAGAGAAACTGATGCTGAGAGAAGATATGACCTGCCCAGGGTCTTGAAATGTTTGTGTTAGTCATTAATGCCAAACAGTCCGGTTTGCCTGCTGCTAGGCTCATGGTAGGAGGGCACTTCCTTGCCACCTTGAAGTTGGAAGTGGCATGTGACTTGCTTCAGCCAGTGAAACGTGTGAAATGACACGTATCATCTCCAAGCAGAAGCTTTTCATTCCCAGATAGATACTGTCACCTACTTTTTTTTCTTGGTAGTGATCACTGATCACAATGATGGAAGCACATGACACAATGAACCTTGTGTCAGCATGGGTCCCTGAGTTAGCACAATAACCTGAGCCCTTCTGCCAACCCACACAGAACAGGTAGCATCTGCTAAATTAAGCTACTGAGATACAGGGGTATTTGTTCCTACAGCATAACTAGACTATTCTGGTTAGGAGAAGATGAAATTCAAATCCGCAACACCGTTGACACCTACCATCTACTAGCTATGTCACCTTAGGCAAGTGATCTAATCTCTCTGGATCTAATTTTTCTGTCAAATGGGGCTAATGATAATCCCTGCCTCATAAAATTAGAAGAGGAATAAATGAGTAAATCTAGGCGCAATTTTAGAACCATTTCTGATGCATAGTATACACTCAGATGTTGATGATGATGTTGCTACTACAATTCTGACTCCAGGCGTGATTCTTCCCCCTATGTCATGCTTACAAAAAGTGATACAAGAAGAAAATTTTTACGTATGGGTTTTACCATTTAACTCTCAAAACCTGCAGTTATGGGGAACCCTTTTACCCAGGAGAAAATGTCACCAAATCCTATATGATGATAGCTGTACTTTTAGTCCCCTTTTGTTGAGAAGATACATAAGAACTAAAACCTTCAAGTAATTCAATAACTTCTTTAAATAAATTTAGGAATTTGAATTTTTGTTGTTGTTCCAGATTTACATACACTTTTAAAAATCTCTCTGCAAGTAAGTGCTGCTGTGCCAGAGGATGGCTGAGCTCTTTGCAATACCTTATACGAGCCCTAGGGGTCCTCAGAGCTCAGGCTGAGACACACTTTCCTGGCCTCCAGGGAGGTCGGCTTTGCAGTGTTGATCGCGCCCCCTGGTGGGAAGACCTGTAATACGGCATTCCTGATTGAGGGGTTTCGCGTGGATTGGTTTGGTGAGCTGTAGGAAGAGTGTGTAGGGGGAGATAACCTTGGCTTGATCTTTTCTGCCCAAGTGTCAGGAAGTAACACACTTCCGCATACCTTATGGTGCCTGACTAGACCGCCAACTTTAAATATTTACACTAAGAGCCCCCTACTTCCTCTTCCTTTGTGTCTTAACACACCTTAGCCAGTAGGGTAAGAACAAGATTGTGCAGTCGAAATCCCGGCCAATGGGATGAGACACAGACATAGGTCTGCGTTAGGGATAAAAGGTGAGAAACCCCCCTGTAGCGCCCGCTGGCTGGCTGCTCTTGCTGCCACTAGTTGCCCTTCTGATCAGAAGTAAAGATTTTGACTTGCCAAGACAATTTGCAGTGTCTGACTGTTTTCTTAATGGCACCGTGGGTCATTTCTAACAAATGTCAGTAAAAAAAAAAAACGGTGGTAGCGTTCCTAGAGTTGACCTTAAACTTACTAATTGTTTCCCCCCTCCGTCTTGCAAAGATCCCTGCTCATTTAAAACGCTTTCTATTCAGATGTACCACCGCACTGATCTTGATTGCTGTCATCTTCTGACCTCCCAGTCAATGTAATCTTTTCCCTGCCCCCTTCCAACTCCTAGCACCATCCTTGAACTCCATAGGTGAGTTCAACATCCGTCCCTGTTGAGTACTCTGGTCTCAATCCTTTCACCTTCTCATTGCCAACAACTTTCTCCTGAACTAAACTACTCCTCTCAAGGTTACTCCCTCAACAATTTAATCACCCCCCCAAAGGCTCTGTCTTTGAAATATGAAACTATAATACACCACTCTGCATTCACCACCGCCTAGCCTTTCAGTTCCACTAGTACCCCATTAGCTATCATTCTTCACCCTCACTGAGAACACTCATCCGCTAATCCCACCAATTTCTCTTTGTCCATTCTTCATTTCTCTCTTGGGTTTAGAGCCCATGATTCATCATCATAATCATTCCTTTGCCCACCTCAATCTCCAACACACTTTCCTGGAAAAACCACAGCCTGACTGAGCACTACAATCTGAGATGGGGTTTCATGCCTGCACCTTAGCAGCTGAATGTTGCTGGAGAAAAATCACACAAACAGGCTGAATCACTTCATTTTAAATTCGTGATCTCAAACCTCGAAAGGGTACACAACACTGTCCAGCAATCCTGCTCTTTCATATGTGGTTTTAGCATGAATTTGCAACTGCAATGGTCATTTGCAAGAAATGTCTCCTTTCTTTTATTTCTCTAAATCAATTTTTATCTGAGCACCTTTCTGCTGAGGTGACAAGAAATTCCATTTTGGTCTTTATGAGCCTCCATGCTCATATGAAATTCCTGGGATTTTATGCAGCCCAGGACATTCCTTTTTTTCTGCTTATTTGTTAGGTCACTGCTGGGTTGTGCATTGAGCAGATCTGCATGACTCCTTGAAGGTGAATGGTTCAGTGCTGACCCCGCAGCCCCGCCCCACACTACACTCCCTTTCAGCTCTTTGTGATTGATCTGCTCCTTCTCAGCTTGGGGCCTTTGCATATTGTGTTCTTTGCCCAAAATGCACAATACCCCATGCTCTTCATCTGATCTAGTTATCATCATCCTTTAGATGTCAACTTCAAATTATCCCTCCTAATATGAAAATTAAAAGTACGATGATACCACTTCACATGCATACACATATATTTAATAATTTTCTAAAACCTGAAAATACCAAATATCAATGAGGATGTAGAGCAACTGGAACTCTCATACATTGCTAGTACGCATATAAAAATGGCAAAACTACTTGGAAGAACGATTTGGCAGTTTATCATAAAATTAAATATATATCCAATCTATAATCCGCAATTCTACTCCTGTGTCCCCAGTGCTCAAGAGAAGTGAAAATGTGTGTCTACAAAATGATTTATACAAGAATGTTCATAGCAGCTTCATTTATAATAGCCAAAACAGGAAATAACTTGAATATTCATCAACAGGTGAATGGATAAACGAACTGTGGAATAGTCAGATAATGGAACATTACTCAGCAAAAAAAAAGAAAATGAGCCATTGATAAATGCAAAAACATAGATGAATCTCAGAAGAATAATGCTGAGCGAAAGAAGTGAGACCAAAAAAAGAGAGTTTATACTGTATGGTTCTACAGAGTTCTGGAATAGGCAAAACAAATCTATATTGACAGAAATCAGATCAGTTTCAGTGCTTTCCTGGGATGGGGGTGGGGGAGATTGACTGGAAGGGACGTGAGATAATAATGTTCAGGGGTGATAAAAATATTCTATAGCTTGATCTGGGTGATGTTTACATTGGTGTATACATTTGTCAAAACTCATTGAAATTGCTGGACACAGTG